CCTCCCCCACCTGACTTCGGTGGGATGAGGTGCTTGTTCTGCCTGTTTATAGAAGAGGGTCGCCATTTTGTATTTTATTTTGACTCGGTTCTCGGTCCCCTGATTACCTACGAGTCTGGATTTTTTATGCGCGAATGATTTGGCACCTAATACTCTATATCAAATATCAACTCTCGACAGTACTCCTTAATACCTCAAAGCTGGTAATATAAACCGGCAGTACGATTTTATAAACAAGACATAGTCTTGTAAAAAACTCATCCACTCTGTCACCATAGTAGAAACAAATTCACATTTTAAATTTATTTTTGTAAGGAAATAATTACACAACTTAAATTTGATTTACTACAGAAAAAACTTCAAATTTTATGATACGAAAAGGATATTATTTATAATAAAATGCTTTCGGACAATACAGAAATTACATAACTGATTAATACTGCATAGTAAAAAAATTACTTGCAGATGGACTACGTGTATTTCAATTATTTTTCCAATTAGTAAACTATACATTAAAAAACATGATATCTGAGGACGTCGGGACTGTTGCTAGCTATGAAATCATGATAAACACTAGTTGACATATAAATATCCGGTATTGGAATATAAATATTCAGTTCACTATCATCATTGCCACCCCTACTTAGTACTCCAATAACAACGTCGTTTCCTAGACGGGTTTTCATAATCAACGGTGAACCGCAATCACCCTATAAACAAATTCATTAATTATAAAAATGTATTTTTTTTTTTATGATTTGTTTCACTAGTTAATAAAATATCACTTATAACTGCATCATTACAAAGACATAACCACGATAATGATTATGAATTAATCAAGATCTAATTTGATAATTCAAAGATATATCTAAAAGAGTGATGGATAATTAGTTAATAATGTTTAATTATGCATTATTCCTTTGCCACTACAGTGGCATGCATATAAAAACTCCACAGATGCTGCTAAGGTGATACACAACTACTTTGTGCATTGCCGTGAAGATATTGTGCGTAAAATTGCAAAGTCAAGTTAGATAATTATTTTTCCATCCATAAAAAAAGATGGAGAAAAGAGAAACATGCTCTGAAGATTTTGAAAATACCAAGTGATGACAAACTTGCTTTTGAACTATACAGGGTGTAACAAAATTTTGTGCAAATGTTTTTAAGGAATAGATTTATAGGGAATTTTACTAAAATCTATTTGAATGTCTTTCAAATTCTGCTTTGTTTTCAAGATCCGGTCTGCCAAAAAAAATGTCATAAACCAATTTTAAATCTCCTGATAAAGGATACCACTGCTTTTTTTTTCTACTTCAGCTTGTACATGCTTGTAACACACACAAGTTTTATTTTAAATGTTGAGAGATATTTTTAATGTATGGAAATTGAAACTCTAATAATCAAAACGTGTTCAATTACTTTTTTATAAGATGTAAGCTTCCATATTTGCAGAGAAAATTTTGAGCAATTATTGTTTACTTTGAATAACTGTTTGTGTTTTTTTACAAAACTAAATTTACATTGAAAGACTCTCTTATTTTCCAACTTTTTACCATGAAGCAGTTGGATAATGCAAAATATTAGTGGGATGTTTATTACAGTATGTCCTACTTGGAGCAACATTTACTTACCTCAATCCTTTGACGGAAGCATAAAACTTATGTTAAAAGTCAACAACTTTAGTCATAGTATTTTGAAATTTGAAAAACATTTATAGAAGATTTTAAGCTTATTTTTGACTCTAGAATTTATTCCTAAGATATTGAGAGTTTTGTTACACCCTTTAGAGAAAGATACTCTAATACAGGAAAATGAAAGTAATTGTGTTTATAATTTCAGTTTTTGCAAATGACATTGATAATGGAAATACTATTGTAGATGATGATGAATGGCATGTTATTAGAATGTAACTTTAGGTATAGTATTGAGTTTGAGTAACAATTAAAAGATAGGCAGTGTCTAAATTTATGTGCGTGGATCCAAAAAGTTCTTGGACTTGGCAGGACTCTTATTAAAATATCCTTGGAGTACAAACGATTAAATTACATGAAGTTTCGTTACACAATTAAATTAGATCCTTTCCATTGCTGTGCACTTTATCTATTTGCATTATTCCAGAATAATTTTGCGAGTAGCCAAAAAATTTAAGAATCTGGAAGAAATGTAATATTTAAAAAGCTACTGTGTATAGCTGTTAAAGAAAATATAATAAAATTGAAAAGTTATTTTATAAATATTCCAGATGTATACATAAACCAACACCTACAAACTCGACATACATACGTAACATGCCAACAACTACCGGATTATATCGTGATTATTTTAAATTAATTACTAAATAATTTTTCACTAGAGTGAGGTGTTAGATATGATNATTGAAAAGTTATTTTATAAATATTCCAGATTTATACATAAACCAACACCTACAAACTCGACATACATACGTAACATGCCAACAACTACCGGATTATATTGGGCTATTATATTGTGATTATTTTAAATTAATTACTAAATAATTTTTCACTAGAGTGAGGTGTTAGATGCCATCTCTTATTAAATTTAATAAGAGATGGCATCTAACACCTCACTCTAGTGACAAATTATTTAGTAATTAATTTAAAATAATTGCGATATAATAGCTCGATATATTCTGATAGTTGTCATATTCCAGATAAAAACCACATAACTGTACGTATACATACATCTTAGTCAAAGCATTAGAACATTATAATAATTTAAAAATCTAATTCTCTCTTCAACTTTTGCCATAGTTAGCTTAGTTATATAATTTTGTTCCTAATAATAGAAATTTGATTTCTTTTTAATTATTATTTATATCAATTTAAAAAACAAAGTGCATATACCATTGCAAAAAAATATTGAAGTAACATGAATATCCATGTGGCATCATTTAGTTGATGTTAAAAATCTAGGAAGGATAAAAACTGTTTGCTTCCAGATTTTTAAATTATAGAATTGCACATTGTTGCTGGACTTTCCCAGCTTTTTGTTTTCGTCCCTAATAATTGCTACTATTGCATTTTTTAAATATCTCCCAAAGCAATCTGAAAACTTAGAGGGTGGGGCCTTATCATCCAAAGCAATGGATTGATTTTCCTGAATTTCTAAAAACATTTTCCCCGTACACAGACCTGCCTGCAAAGCTTAATAACGCCTGTGACTTTAGAAAGTGCATCATTTTACAGATGACAAAATGGCAGACGTACACTGTTTGTAGTGTAGCCAATGGAAATGGACGATAAGCTGCACAATTGTATTGTGACTGTCATTACTGCATCTTAGTGCAATAATGACAAGGCACATTAGGATGGTGTTTCCAATAATACATTCTTATGTGAATATGGTTTGTTTTTATGTTCTCTGCTTTCAATATTTGGGGTACAAACTTTTAGAGAATCATCCTGTGTATGGTCCATCTTACACAATTACTAAAATATTTTGTGCATTAATACAAAACTTCCCAACATTAAAAATTTTTGTATCATTGTCGGTTATTTTTTTTAATTACTCTAGTTTGCTTTTCTTTCAAATAAAATATTAATTTTAAGTAATGAAACTTTATAAGAAAAAATATATTTTAATTTTTCTCATTTTTAATAGGAAATGGACCAATGATATATTACTTTCATACTTTACAAATGGAAGTAATGAGAAACCAACATCACTTTCTTCAGGTATAATCAATGTATAACATTTGAATTTTTTTATAGAATTTCTTAAATATTTTTAAATTTAAAATTATTAAAACTTGAAATAATTTTAAGACAAAATTTAGACAATTAATTATAAAAATGTATTTTTTTTTTTATGATTTGTTTCACTAGTTAATAAAATATCACTTATAACTGCATCATTACAAAGACATAACCACGATAATGATTATGAATTAATCAAGATCNGCGGGGGAATTTTGAAAAATCCCTTCTTAGTGCGCGCTTTCATGACGTACCCTAACTGTGTACCAAATTTTACCTCTTTAGGTTCAGCGGTTTGCTCTGGGCAATGATGAGTCAGTCAGTCAGGACAAGTAATTTTATATATTTAGATTTAAAAAATTTTTAAATTTTTGCCCTATAATCTTTTTCATTCTTTAAAAGAAAAAATATAAGAAATTTTTAAATAAGTTGTTGAATTATTGAAATTGTATTAGTGTTATATCTAAAGTGACCAGATCCTGAAATGTTAAAAGCAAGAAATTAGGCGAACACTTTGATGCGACATCAAATGACTCGTGATCAATTCCAGTCAATGATCTTTGGTTTTCTGGCTCTATCTTCCATAACATCGTCTATGATAGATGTTATGAACAATCAAAGAACATGTTATTTATTCACATACTCTTGTTTAAAAAATAACAATACCTACAGCAATAGTGACAATCTAATTACAGCTCAGAGTGTAATTTTGTTTGCTTTAATTGCCATTTTTTAACTTTGATAATTAGTAAAAACCATCAACTCTCTTTTACGAGGTATAACTGATTTGCACAACTGTTGTACTGCATGTGGTATAAGTTCACCATTCTCCAACAGATAGGATTGCCTGACTAGGCAATAAATCTTCAATTGGGTTACTGTTCTATGAATCGGATATTAAAACTTTTATGCTAATAATTTCTACACAGTTCATCTTTGACTTGCAATCCATGCAATGAATATCGGCAGTTTTTGAATATAACTATAAAACAGTCCACAATTGGGACATACCGAGACAGCATATTAAAGAATATTAAGTTTTATTTGAAATTATAAACTACACTCTATGAATTTTATAATTATTAATTAACAACTCATCAAACAGTAGAGATTTATTTGCTTGTGACAAAAAATTAATAGATGCATGCTATCAAGATATTTTTTAGGCTCTGATGTAGATCTTACATCAGAGCTTAAAAAATATCTATTTTTCAGCTTTTTAAAATTAATTCTAAATAACATAATTAGCATTAAAATTTAATTTTTTATTTGTATAAATAGGTGTGATGTGCCTTCTTTTTGTTTATATAAATACTGCTCCTGGTCCAAAAGGATACCATTTGGTATTAATTAATGTAAGAGATGAAATTTACAATCGTCCGACGGCAAAAGCAATGTTTTGGGAAAAGGAACCAAATGTAATCGGCGGTAAGATTATTTTTGTTTATTCATTAAGTTTAGAAAGAGAATAATTCATTTGAAATTTTTAAAATTTTAAAGTAAAGTTTTCTATTATTTACAAGCATGATATACAACAGAGATCTGTTTTTTTGAGGGACCAATGTAAAAAACTACTTAAGCAGAAATGAAAATAATATAGGATTTCCTTCAATAATTCATATCAATTTAACAATATTCTGCCACATTATTTACTGTATTCATTTAAATACTTGTCTAATGTTATCTGCTTCATCAGTTTTGTTACATGAGAAAAAAGTTATGTATTATGATTTCTACAAATGAAACTATAGATCTATAAATACTTTACTAAAACTTGCTGAAAACTCAATCATTGATGGCACTTATCAGAACATGATGTTTGCTACACGTTTGGTGGCCAGAAAATCATAAAAAAATTATAAATCCATGTTAAAAGTAGCTCAAGTCACAAGCATAATGACATGAAATTTTTTACATTCTTTTTCCATATGCAATTAAATTTTCAGGATAGGATGCAGTTGAAAAACCTCTTTAAAAAAAATGGATTTACTTTTTTTTGGTCACAGATTAGGATTTCAGTTTACTTAAATGTGTAAACTTTCCTATATAAAACATTCCCATCTCTTCTGAAAAAAATTGAGAATTTGAAATTAATCTTCTTACTTGGGAAAACTTCTAATGTGAGAACTTCTTAATCAAGTTCTATTGTATATTATTCACAAACTTATCTGTACTTTATTTTACAAAATAAGATACAAATAGATAATTCATTCATGAAATTATTTTATATAAAGTTAATTTTTGAACATCCTGTATATTCTTTATCTGTACAATTTCTGTTTATAATAGACAATCAACAAGTGTAAAAATTTCCATGTTTACAGAGAAACTTGTTAAGTTTTTTCTGTATAAAGATTTTTTTTTACCAAGTTTGTTTTTGTTTGGATTGGTCATGAAGGTGCAATTCATTGGCCAACTATATCTTCCGACATCACATCCTGTGATTTCTTCATTGGAGATTTATCAAAGTAGCAGACAGACTTCAATGATTTAAAATCAAGAATAATGGCTGCTGTTGAACAAATTGATGTGGAAATGCTGCAGCATATGTGACGGTATTTGGAGTGTTGACTTGTATGTTTTGAGATTCACTAATGGTGCACATATCAAATGTTTGTAGCATTGTCACTTTAATGAAAGAAACTTTGGAAAATATAATTCTAAAAATTCTTGTTTAAAACTCCTACATGTGCCATCATAAATTTCTTTAAAGGATAGTTGTACTGATAATTTTCAGACACCCTGTAAATTCCTCTTCATACATTTTTAGAATTATTGATTTTTTTTATTAATACTGTACTATTATACTTCACTTTAAACCTAAATAAAAATATCATTATTTTCTGTATGAAAAATATGTTGAAACTGCAAGCATGTGCACCTTCTTGTGAACATAGAATGCAAATCTAATATAAGCAGACCAGACTAAAAAATTAGTTACCCCTAACAGAAATGACAGTGGGGTCATTACTAATTTTACAGAGGGTGCCATCAATCATTGGGAGATAAATAGCACTACAAAGTCATTTCTGTCTCTTGAAGTAGCAAAGAGCAATGTAAGTGTCAAATTGAATCTGCAATGTGGACCGTGTGACGGACATTACTGAGTGACAAAAATGAGCCATTGTGTTTGGCCAAGCCTGTAGACACAAAGTGAATGAAATCTTGTTGTCTAATTTGTTGATGTCGAAGCATACTGTCCTGTGGGTCTATAAACAGTGGCATAGTTCAGTCAACTAAAAATCATTCGACAGTGCAAGAGGCACCATCACCCATTATTAGCTATGTTCTGACAGGGATTTTTTTTTGTCTGGTGTGCTTATTTGATTTTAATAGGTGATACAGAATATAAACAAAATTTTTTTGTAAATACTAAAAACAAATTAAAAACACTAAACCTATAAACCAGCAAATTTTTATAACAAATGCAAATGTTTTCACTCGTGCTGAATGGGCATCATCAGGCAAACTAATCACCAAATGCCAAAACAAACGAGGGATTGCCGAACACATGTGCAAAGGGGAGGTGACCACTTTTAATTCTAATTTAATCAGTTTTAAGTGGCAGTTTTTTACTAAAAACAAAAACAAGCGGGCAGTAATGTGATTAATTTGTAAATTAATTAATTATATTTGGATGATTAAAACTAGAAGGTTAATATATCTTCATATACTTTTTATGCACTTCTTTTTATAAAGTTCTAAATATTACTTCTATGTGACCTAATTAATCAACCTCTTAATCTTTTGATTAACAATACACTAATTAGGTCACAAAATTTTACTCAAAAAAATGTATAAAATACAACCACTCAAAAACTAGGTAAACTTGATACAAAGCTACAAAAAATATATACTACATACATTTTAAATATTAAATCATATAGTCACTAGTCATTTATCTCATTTTATAATATGAATTGTTAATAGCATACAATGGTATCTATTGCTGTTGCAGTTAAGGAAATTAAATTTAAAAAATTTTTTATAAATGTTTAATTCTTGTAAAATAACAAAGTAAAAATGTGATTGCATTTTTTTGTTAACCTATTTAATTATTCTGTATAATTTCTTTTTTATCACTGTATTTTCATAAAGGTTATTTAACATATCATTAATTAAATATAATATAATATATAATGGTATCCAATAAAAATATTTTAATAGTCTAAATAAAATACAAAATTTAAAAAAAATATATTTGCGAAGCTAACGAGTAAGTGAAAACTTGTCCACCAGCAAAAAAACGTTGAAATTACAATCGTTATGAATCCGTTAATACCATTACTATTGAAATAAACAACTGGTATCAAACAAACACAAACATATTCAATTGCTAGACACAAACCAGTGCCTTTGCATTTGCTTGTTGGCTCCTCATTTGCTGCTGTTCCACAAGAATAATTTCAAAAACATTTGTTTGACTGACAAATTAATTATTTACTGAAATAATGCATTTGTAAACATGAAATGTAAAGGAATAAATCATATTTTCTTTTTAAAAAATACCATATTTTAAATCAATTTTAAATGACATTTTATACATATTTATATATCTTTAATTAAAAGTTGCTGTTGATTGTCTTGTACTTTGCATTTATTTTGGAGAAAGCTTTTGTTAATTTAAATATCTAAACCGTTGCAGGCAGGGATTTAGAACCAGGCAGAGAAGGAGGAACGTGGTTAGCTATGAATAAAAATGGAAAAATTTCTGCATTGTTGAATATACTTCAACCGGATCACGAGCTATCGCCAAATAAAAAAGGAAGAGGTAATGACAATAAATGAACTTTTTTAAATTCATAAAATGTATTATAAACCTTTTTTTTAATTTTGTATCGTTAGGATTTCTCGTTGTCGATTATGTGAAAAATAACCAAGATGGTTTATCCTATTTACAAGAAATATGTGATCATTGTGATGAATATAATGGATTTTTATTAGTTACGTTAGATTTAAGGTATGTATTCAAATTAACAGTTGTTACGTCAATTTTATATTTAAAATGTATCATTTTATTGGTATTTAATACTTTAAGAACGAAAAATCGGAAGGAAGTCTGAAATTGTTTAGATTGTTGAACTATTTTTAATTATATTGCTTTCCCTATAATTTTTGTTAAGAGAAGAGGGTTATTTTTTGCTATTTTTGTGTGTACTTTAGTCTTAATATTTTGTGAACTTCCCGTGTTCCACTCGGGTCTGCTACCATTATCTGATCAGCTTTTGAGATAGTTGGTAACAGTAAACTAGCCATCATGATGGCACTAACCAAAATATTTGGCTGCAGATGTTATCGAAGAGTTCTACAGAAGGTGGTATCTAAGTGCACTTTAGGTTTTTTTTTTTTCTTTTTTCTTTTTAGACATTGAATAGGGTTTCTACATGTATGTATATGCTATTTGATATTCTAAGCATTTTACCCAAGTGTGGGAACATTTACGCTTTATTCTTTTTGTTCTTGCACCAAGCTCGTTACAAATTTTTAATAATTCCCAAAAGCATCAAAATTTAACTTTTTTTGTTGTACCTTTTTTCCATAGAATTCCTCAATTGGAAAGTTATTCTTTTGACTTTAAACTATAATTATCTCTTTATGATTAAGATGTTTATATTTTTAATTGTAAGGTGGGAAACAAACTGGTGTAGCAGGCTTCTGTTAAATGCCAAACAAGAATTGTGGAACCACATAAGAATTTCTTGACTTAAATATTTTACCATTGTTTTTCCCTGATTCTATGATAAATTTGGTATATGATTTTGAAGTAAAAAGCTGTTGCCCTTCCTTTGAACCTGATGTTTTTAACAATGCTGTATTGGCTTATTTTGGTTCACATTTTAAAATAGTTTGCAGATATTTTTCTTTAAATTCATATTGTTTTATTTTCTCAACTCTTACTTCTCCATACAAATCAAAACCGTCCACACTTTCCAGCAGAGAATTTATTTGTCAAACAAATATTTTGAACTTATTTTATAAGCCCGCCTCTTACTTCTCCAGAAAGCACTTTCGATTTGATTTCATAACTGCTCGAATGAACGAAGTCATCTAAAGTGTCAAAATTTGTAAAATGCTTAAAGAAAATGCCAGACTGAAGGATTTCGACTTTTAAAATACTGTAATCTTAATTTTCATATTAGTATTATGATTAATAAGATGTTTTAATTTAGTTTTTGTTCTATTCATTATAGAATTTTTGTTAATTTATGAATTACAGAATAATTCATATATGATATTATTTCGGTTAAGAGTAAAATTGATTTTATGTAACACATTCAATTTGAATTTTGTCAAATGAAATCTCTTTATATTAAACCTAGATTATGAATTTTGATGACTTTCTACATAGTATTTTGAGTACAAAATCATTGTAGAGCCTAATTCTTTTTAGCAGGAATTAGACTCATATTCACAAATTTATTTATATTTTTGTTTAAAATTAGTTAAAATTTTATATATTAAGAATATAGAATTAATTGAAGATTAAAACTCATTATTTTTCCATTTTTAAAATATTGTATATTTAATATTCATTAATTCTAATGTAGTTAAAATTTCCATAAATTATCATTATTTAAACTTTGAACTGTTACCATAGCAGCTCTGTTTGTTTATAATTTTGATTGATTTGTCTTCATGATGCTATTTGAATTGCATACATTTTTTATTTTAAAAGTATTTCAATTTGAAATGTACATATACTTCTGAAAATTGGCAAAACAATATGAAAACATTAAAAATTGTTTGATTTTCTTTTTATTATTTGTATTATCAATTTTTTTTTGTTTTGTTAATTAGAATAGGTTTGATTCTTTCCTTTTCTGTATGTAATATGCAAACCACTCTTGCTAAATCAATTTAATTTTGCTTATTTTTGTAATGAATGTTCCTGCCAAAATCAAAAAAGAAGTCGTGGATTAATATTTAAATGCGCTACACAACATTTACTATACATAACATAGTGTGAGCATCAAATCTTGAAATTTCTAATTTGCTAAATAAATAATTTAGTAGATAGCATAAATATGTTTAAGAAATAGGAAATGTGAATGTAATCATCTAATGTTTCGAATACATTTGATGTCATTTATAATAGTCTAATTGAATATTGAGCATTAGAGTTAAATTCTGACATGATTTTCAATAATTTAAAATAATATAATTGAAAATTGTATTGTTGTTATGGTTTAGTTCAGGCATGGCCAACATACATCCTGTCTAATGAATTTATGTGGCCTGCGGTTAATCTCTTAATATTAGCTACTCAAGTCCAAATAGCTCGGTGAAAAATTCTGACGCCTAAAAAAAAAATGGGGGATCAACAACAACTCACTCTGCATTTAGAGTTAACCCTCCATTACAAATCTCGTAAGTACAGCGTAGAATGTTGATAAAGCATGATAATGTGAAAAATGTATATGTAATCTCTATATGCAATTTAGTCCTCTACAGGGTGACACCACAGTGAGATCTTGCACCACCTCAAAATCTTCCTAGGGCAGCCTCTGGTTTGGCCCGTGAAAAAAGTTCTCTTTCCAATTCGGCCCAGGGGCAAAAACTGTTGGCCACCCCTGGTTTAATTAGTTAATATGTGTCACAGGAACATTGCAGAGCTGTGTGGCTAGCTGTAATTATGGTCATTATGGATAGACTTGAGCTGTAATCAGGCCAACTGGCATTGACGAGGGACAAACAATTCCTTGATTTGTACTGTTAATGATAAATTAGGGGTCATGTAATGGATTTGAAACGGATCTTATTCTTATTACAAATTTGGCCCAACTGAATAAAATGTATTTTAACAGAATAATAATAGATTTTTACTTTTTACTTTTTATTAAATTATTAATTAAATCAATTTTCATTACAAATATAGTTTTGAATGTGGATATAATGAGGGTTTCGTCCACAGAAATATATAGGATGATTCAAAACTTAGTGTACAAACTTTTAGGTAGAGACAGAAAACATAAAAATTAACCATATTGACATTAGGATGGTATTTCCAAACACATTCTTATGTACCTAGAGGGTGTCGTTTGCCAGTGGTGTGGTAAACCTTGGATGGTTTGGTCTTTCTCATTTGAAATAATTTTATGCAGAAAGTGCATCATTTTACAGATGACAAAATGGCAGACGTACACTGTTTGTAGTGTAGCCAATGGAAATGGACGATAAGCTGCACAATTGTATTGTGACTGTCATTACTGCATCTTAGTGCAATAATGACAAGGCACATTAGGATGGTGTTTCCAATAATACATTCTTATGTGAATATGGTTTGTTTTTATGTTCTCTGCTTTCAATATTTGGGGTACAAACTTTTAGAGAATCATCCTGTGTATGGTCCATCTTACACAATTACTAAAATATTTTGTGCATTAATACAAAACTTCCCAACATTAAAAATTTTTGTATCATTGTCGGTTATTTTTTTTAATTACTCTAGTTTGCTTTTCTTTCAAATAAAATATTAATTTTAAGTAATGAAACTTTATAAGAAAAAATATATTTTAATTTTTCTCATTTTTAATAGGAAATGGACCAATGATATATTACTTTCATACTTTACAAATGGAAGTAATGAGAAACCAACATCACTTTCTTCAGGTATAATCAATGTATAACATTTGAATTTTTTTATAGAATTTCTTAAATATTTTTAAATTTAAAATTATTAAAACTTGAAATAATTTTAAGACAAAATTTAGACAATTAATTATAAAAATGTATTTTTTTTTTTATGATTTGTTTCACTAGTTAATAAAATATCACTTATAACTGCATCATTACAAAGACATAACCACGATAATGATTATGAATTAATCAAGATCTAATTTGATAATTCAAAGATATATCTAAAAGAGTGATGGATAATTAGTTAATAATGTTTAATTATGCATTATTCCTTTGCCACTACAGTGGCATGCATATAAAAACTCCACAGATGCTGCTAAGGTGATACACAACTACTTTGTGCATTGCCGTGAAGATATTGTGCGTAAAATTGCAAAGTCAAGTTAGATAATTATTTTTCCATCCATAAAAAAAGATGGAGAAAAGAGAAACATGCTCTGAAGATTTTGAAAATACCAAGTGATGACAAACTTGCTTTTGAACTATACAGGGTGTAACAAAATTTTGTGCAAATGTTTTTAAGGAATAGATTTATAGGGAATTTTACTAAAATCTATTTGAATGTCTTTCAAATTCTGCTTTGTTTTCAAGATNTAATTATTTGAATGTCTTCTTAAAAATACCAAGCTTTATTATGCTAAGTTAAGGTACCATGGATCTACGGTCATTTTGTCTCGACTCTGTATAAGTGCATTTTTAACGTGCTCAGGCTTACTTTAAAATCAATGATGATAAATTTCAATTATTTTGCATTTAATAATAAAAAAATCATTATTTTAACGTAAACTATATATCGTCTTCATACATATTTTTTATTCTATCCGGAGGAAGTCAAATAAAACGTCTCTCTGACTTCGCTCCACTGATCTGGTTCTTTAGCATTAGTAAAATCTTTCAGCGATCTTTCTACATAGTCAACTCTTCCGGTTCCGTCCACCACGATTACCGTGTGGCATCTACGACAAAGAATTTAAATTACATTCAACCATTTGGTAATGGCAATTAATACAAAGTTGTGTAAATTTATAGACCTCTTATTTTGTAATAACAAAAAATTACATATACAATTTCAAATTACTTTCCCCACAGTTAACTAAATTTTATCATCTCATATTAGAAATCAACATGTGTGAAATAGTGTTCTTGATTCTTGATTATTAATTATGAATAATCTGACAAAGTTTAGTAACTAAGTTTTTGAAGTCATTTACTATCAAATTTAAATTAATTTCGATCCGGTTTCTTGGTACTGCATGTACATTGCATTTGGCAAATTGAAAAAATTCCACTTACCTGCTGCCGTAACAATATTCTGGTAAATATACAAAAATAGCACTTAATTTCTGTAGGAAATTTTCGCTTTTACCAAAACCTTGATTTTTCATTTGTTTATCAACTGGGTAACTGTAAATAAATGTTTTTAAAAGTAAAAATTAATCACCATCATAAAAAGTGTTTAAAGCAAAATTTAATATATTTAAGTACAGCATTGTTGATGCCAGAGCACCAGGGGTTTAGCATATCCCAATACAGGAGGAACGGTTTAGAATTGTCTTTGTTTACATTTTACATTATATTTTTAATGCAGTGAGAATTTTATTATTCATTAAAACAATTTCTAAATCAAATATTCAAAAGGTTAAAATTGTTATTCTACCTTTCAGAATATTTTGTGATTTACGCAAACGAATAAAGAACGGTATGTTTCGCCAGTTTCGTAGAATTTAGACAACTCTTAAAAATCATTTGTTTCAACTTAAATTTAATATATTCAATCTCGTTAATAGAACAGATGAACTTACCACCTATCATCCATCAGCAGTTCGAATAATTCTTCTATAAGTTTTTCTCTGCTTTCGATCGTCGGATGTTCATTTACAATCTTTTCAAACCCTTGACGACCTTCTGTGACTTTTTGCCAAGGTTTATTCGGATGACTGTTTCCAAAGGCATGAATTCCTAAAACAAAATGATTTTTCTAACTAACATTTTATAATATTGTTTTCTTGTAAACTTTAATAAACAACTTTTGTAAAATGTTATTAATCGTCATCAAAATAAAATTACAAAAGCTTTACTTGTTAAAAAATTATATTAGTTGATGATGATGACATATAATGCAGGAAAGAAAAATGATAGACAAAATTATAAAACAGAGGGAAAATATGGTGATTGATGATAAAAAATGACTTCCCAAGATTTTCAGTTTTGGACTTAGGACCTTGAAACTTCAAGAAATGCAAAAAAAGTTGGGTTTTTTTGTGGGGAGACAATTTTTACCCACTTTAAAACTTAACTCCCGCGACTTTTTGACAAAAGTCAAAAAGTCGCGGGAGTTAAGTTTTAAAGTGGGTAAAAATTGTCTCCCCACAAAAAAACCCAACTTTTTTTGCATTTCTTGAAGTTTCAAGGTCCTAAGTCCAAAACTGAAAATCTTGGGAAGTCATTTTTTATCATCAATCACCATATTTTCCCTCTGTTTTATAATTTTGTCTATCATTTTTCTTTCCTGCATTATATGTCATCATCATCAACTAATATAATTTTTTAACAAGTAAAGCTTTTGTAATTTTATTTTGATGACGATTAATAACATTTTACAAAAGTTGTTTATTAAAGTTTACAAGAAAACAATATTATAAAATGTTAGTTAGAAAAATCATTTTGTTTTAGGAATTCATGCCTTTGGAAACAGTCATCCGAATAAACCTTGGCAAAAAGTCACAGAAGGTCGTCAAGGGTTTGAAAAGATTGTAAATGAACATCCGACGATCGAAAGCAGAGAAAAACTTATAGAAGAATTATTCGAACTGCTGATGGATGATAGGTGGTAAGTTCATCTGTTCTATTAACGAGATTGAATATATTAAATTTAAGTTGAAACAAATGATTTTTAAGAGTTGTCTAAATTCTACGAAACTGGCGAAACATACCGTTCTTTATTCGTTTGCGTAAATCACAAAATATTCTGAAAGGTAGAATAACAATTTTAACCTTTTGAATATTTGATTTAGAAATTGTTTTAATGAATAATAAAATTCTCACTGCATTAAAAATATAATGTAAAATGTAAACAAAGACAATTCTAAACCGTTCCTCCTGTATTGGGATATGCTAAACCCCTGGTGCTCTGGCATCAACAATGCTGTACTTAAATATATTAAATTTTGCTTTAAACACTTTTTATGATGGTGATTAATTTTTACTTTTAAAAACATTTATTTACAGTTACCCAGTTGATAAACAAATGAAAAATCAAGGTTTTGGTAAAAGCGAAAATTTCCTACAGAAATTAAGTGCTATTTTTGTATATTTACCAGAATATTGTTACGGCAGCAGGTAAGTGGAATTTTTTCAATTTGCCAAATGCAATGTACATGCAGTACCAAGAAACCGGATCGAAATTAATTTAAATTTGATAGTAAATGACTTCAAAAACTTAGTTACTAAACTTTGTCAGATTATTCATAATTAATAATCAAGAATCAAGAACACTATTTCACACATGTTGATTTCTAATATGAGATGATAAAATTTAGTTAACTGTGGGGAAAGTAATTTGAAATTGTATATGTAATTTTTTGTTATTACAAAATAAGAGGTCTATAAATTTACACAACTTTGTATTAATTGCCATTACCAAATGGTTGAATGTAATTTAAATTCTTTGTCGTAGATGCCACACGGTAATCGTGGTGGACGGAACCGGAAGAGTTGACTATGTAGAAAGATCGCTGAAAGATTTTACTAATGCTAAAGAACCAGATCAGTGGAGCGAAGTCAGAGAGACGTTTTATTTGACTTCCTCCGGATAGAATAAAAAATATGTATGAAGACGATATATAGTTTACGTTAAAATAATGATTTTTTTATTATTAAATGCAAAATAATTGAAATTTATCATCATTGATTTTAAAGTAAGCCTGAGCACGTTAAAAATGCACTTATACAGAGTCGAGACAAAATGACCGTAGATCCATGGTACCTTAACTTAGCATAATAAAGCTTGGTATTTTTAAGAAGACATTCAAATAATTAATAAAATCTGTAATTTTATTGAGAATTCACCAAATAAACAGTAAAAAAAAAAATTGGAATAATGTGGTGACTAGTTAATTATACTTTTAAAATTCCACATTGTTTAGATTTGATGTTGAAGCAGAAGGTAGTTCCATTTCTTGTGGTATAAATTTTCCAATCGGTCTTACTGTATTCTAGAAAGAAAAAATTTCAAATATTATAGGTTGACTAACATTGAAAAATCTCACTAGTTTTGACATGTATAATTATTAAGATGCAGCATAAAAAGCTAAAAACAAAAATTTTTTTTGTAAAAAAGTCATACTTATATTGTTTTTAGCTTTTGATGATATTGCAGTAGAATATGTTTTAGGTTAATTCATTATTTTATTTATAGTATATACTATACTATGATCAATCATCACATGAATGCTTCCAAATTTTCTATGGAGCCACGGTCCATAGAAAATTCGGAAGCATTCATGTGATGGTAGATGATGAAGATTGACAAAAACCACATTATTTTTGTTGTAACGATCGTTGTGCTTCACTCTCCGAAGAATGTTTATTTTGATAATAGAGAAGTTGCAGCTGACGTTTTCAGACATTCAGCACCACTTTCCTAAAGGCCTAGAAGTTTGGATAGTCGGTGGAATCATGCTCGACATTCCAAACTCCTAGGAAAGCAGCGCTGAACATCGTCCACAACCTCTCTAATATCACAAGCCAAAATGACAAAATTACTGTCTTGTCCATCTGTAACAGATTGTAGTTGTGAGAACTAGGGGTAAGAGGAAAGAGTCACTTATGAGACCACGTGTAATTACTTCTGTTTGGCAATAAGGTGGCTAAAAGACCAATTAGACACAGCCTGAACCTCATACTGGTGTCAGAATAAATGCCAAGCACAAACATTACATTTGGATGAAAAACATTTCACGTCGGACTCTGATATGAAACATTTCTTGGGAAGTGAACAAAGTAATCCTCACTGGTATTTAGTCGTCTAATGTATTTTGTTTGACAAGTTTGGTTCTACACCTCCTTCCAATAGTGTAGCAATCCATCTCCAAGAACAGAACAGTTTGAATCTAACTAAAATACAGGCATCCCTCTGGGGTAATTCAGATAATTGATGCTCTACTGTACAGTCTCAAATTTGTTTTGGATAACTGATCATGTATGAAAAAATAAAAACAATAACTTCCGAAATACTATCTAATATCAAAAACGTTCCAATTCAGAAAAAAGCCTTGTTCAAATACTGGCACCTCCTTAAGTACCTTCTCGTGGTCATGCCAGTGCCAGCTAAAAAACACACACCAACAAAAATAATATTCAAATAGCCACAGCACTAGTGGAAATTTGAATTTGCCGACTGGAACGCTTTCGGTTAACTGATGCTCTACAGGAAATCCTTGTAACTTTGAATCATTCACATACAGTTGACAATTCCCTTAGATTTTACAAATACGTGAGCCGTTCACAGCCCAGCACACGTATTTGTAAAGTCTAAGTGACTCGTACAACATGGATACAGAACACTATTTTTTGTATATTATTATTAATTATCATAGAAGTTAAGCAATACCTGTTCAGTGAGAATCTCAGATTGCTTTGCTTTTTTTTTTTTTATAAAACCTGATTCCTCAAAATGTAGCCCAAAGTAGCCTACAAATATCTCAATATGACACTTGTAGCCCATGGGTAGGGGTGACACGCCCAAAAACATTAGCTTTGTTTCTAAGGTAACAATAATTAACCTGACTTGTTTTTGGTCTATTGTTCTCTTACGGCATGGAGTCACTTCATCCTTTCTCAAAGTGGGCGGTAGTGATTAAAAATGACTTTTATTTCTTCTCATTGAAACATCCTTTGATCTCAGAAATAGGATATGGGTCACACCCTATCCATATAATAGTGCATGTTTAAACATTACCATCTGTTACAATTATTGCAAATATAATGTAAAAAAAGTTCAAAAATATGGGGCACTAGATTGTTTTTTTTACCTATCTCAAAGTGGGCAGTGGTTGAAATAAGTTTGAGAACCTGTGATCTAAATGAATGAGTTAATGTGTGCATATCACAACAAGGATTTCCTGTATATACAATCTTAAATGACTGATTTCATAAACAAAACAATAAAGTATTTTTTACTCAAATCCAATGTTTCGCCTGAGGATAGGCCAAAAACGTTATATTTTCATAAAACAATACTTAAAAAAATATAATTTACTCGTCTATTTTTAGAAATTAAAACACTCTTTCCTAGACCAACTTCGAGTGATTTATATTAGCGGACAAATAGTAATCAACAAAGATACTTTACTATTTGTCCGCTAATATAAATCACTCGAAGTCGGTCTAGGAAAGAGTGTTTTAATTTAGTTTTATATTTTTTCAAAAAAAATACTTAGTTTTCAATAAAACTATCTCGGTAGCAAGAAAAGTGTGTTGTGATAAGCTATGATTTAAATTAGGTCTAATTTACAAATTAAAAAATGTTAATACAGGTAACCCCCCATATAGCACGGGTTCACTCTAACACGATTCAGGAATTGGGTAAAACCCTCGTACAACATGAAATGTAATAAAGGGTGCGTTCCTTTATACCTCAACATGAGCATTCTAATTGTTTTTGTGGCTACTTTGAATGCTCTTTCAACAAACAGCAGCGCACTCCCATTGCAGAGTGACCGCACCCAAAAACTGTTAACAGTTGATGATGCTCATGCAGGATGAATGGTAAAATATTTACTTAAATCCTTATTTAAATTGGATTTATTATTTAACAGCATGTTTTTTAAGTTTTTGAACCTAACCCCCCTTTTCCAGCATACTAGTTCTTTGCTATGTTATGCGAATCCTTGTTATAAGAAACAACTTTTTGGAACGTAACTCCCATGTTATACGGAGGTTACCTGTACTAGTTTCAAAGCATTGTTTGTTGCTCTCAAATGAAAAGTATGAAGACAAATAACTCTCAAAATGTTTTAAGAACATTTCCAACTCCAGCATCAGATCTGCATTATAAATGACATTCCAAATTATTAATAAATATTCCATTTTTTGTGTGTCGAGTTTGGGATGTTACTTACATCTCACAGATCTGATGTCAGAATTGTAAATTTTCTGAAAACATTTATCTTTAACTTATTCTCTGGACAACAAATGACAGTTTCATAACAATCAAAATATGCTTACTTTTCTTTCATATAGTTTCAACATTTCTTCCTGAAGTTTATTAAGTATCGATATGTTAGGTTTATTGGCACAAGCTTTGCTTTGGAGTTCTGTAATTTGTTGTTCCTCTTCCTAACAAAACAAAAATACAATATGAACAAAAATCCTAAAATTACTTTTTATACTATTTTTTTTTACTTATATAAACAATAATTCTATGACCCAATTTTTTAATTAATTGCAACTAGATGATCTGCCAAATTATCGAGCTATTAATATCTAATTGTTAAATTAGCCTTTTAAGTAATCTGTCCAGAGATAAGCAGGAGTTGCAGATTTGAATCCTGCTCTGAGCCAATTCTTCCAGAAATTCTAAATTAACATGAGATTGTGGCTTAAATAATTTGTCTTGAGGTACGCAGTTAACAGGCTAATTTAATTAATAGCCTAATAATTCAGCAGATTGTCTGGTTGTGCTTAATCTTAACAAAAATAGTTTGTATAATTTGACTGTAAAAGTGAGTGTCATACAAATAACATAAATCTTTCTATTATAAAAACCTTATCCATACCTTAAGATTATATGAATTGTATTAGTAATAATTTTCTATTTACATCATAAATATTCATCATAATACATCATATACATCATAATAACTATTCATAAATATTCATAGATATTCATTATTAAGAATGCTATATTATCTACTTTTGAATATTAATTTATTTGAAATCCTTGTATATAAAGATCATTTCTATTCAAGAAATAAAAAATAATTATGAATTTCAGAGTTGATTTTTTACAAATTTTTAACTTTTAAAAATGGAAAATCTCTTTGAAGTCCATTTGTCTTATTTACAATGTTATTAATTTCCAACAAACTCTTTGGTGAACACAAATAAATTAATTGTTCAAAAATTTGAAAAAATACAATGCACTCTAAGACAATTAATTAATTAAAGATTTTTAAATGACAATGTAATTGTTCTTTCGTATCTTCATCTAACCACAAACATGCAATAAATTAGTTATGAATATTGCAACTACAAAAACCATTAAAACACATTATGAGGAGCTTATATTGATATTCTACTATATGTAACTGCTAATAAAGGTTAATTAGCCTAATTTAGATAAAGATTATTATTAACTGTATAGTATACTTTAATGTAACTATCAATAAACTAGAAATATACATTTGAATTATTAATACTTACACTTAATAAATGTTTTATGTTTTTATGAAGAATTGAACAGACTAATTAATAATTATCAATTGCAAAGAATAGGATTTACTGAATATTTTAGGTAATTACCTTTTTCTCTTTTAATGTCTTACAGGAACCTTTTCCATATAAACGTAATAATGATCCCCAACAGACAATATGAGGATGGAGAGCCTAGACAAAACATAACACAATTTTATAAATAATAATAATAAGACATGTAAATACCTGACCACTTAAATTACAAGTTTGTAGTAACAGTACAAAAATACTGTGTATTCATTGTGATTATTTATAGATTTAATGTTAGTAATAGAATAAAAATTATAAAATTACACAGCAGATTTATTGCAGTTGTTTTTTTGTTTCATTCATAATGATTTTAATAAAATTTAAATTTATATGATAAGAGCTTCCATTACAATCTAATAATTTTCTCTTTTTCCTTTTGTTGTGTGTTTCCCATTGAACAAGAAAAATATGTATATCCATATGATTGTCTTACTTCTTTTACATAAAAGTAATTTCTTTGTATGATTGAAAATAGGACAGCTTAGCTTGTTTCCAGAATTGGATATGCCATCTTTTACTTGAACATTTTTTTAAAGTATAATGAATGCATATGAGGATTTAAGATGGTTTTCTATACATCTCAATTATTAATTCTCCCTTCATAATATTTATATCTAATTAATGGACACTTATGTTATGTACCTGATCCATCTGTAGGGTTATCTCAAGTTTATTTTCATTAAAAATCTTTGTAGACCTCTTTTTTCATTCCACAATAACAAGTAGTAATAAGGAAATGCTGCAACAGTTTATAATTGTCTTGAAAAATCATGTATTCCGAATAATTAGTTGACAATTTGATATCTAAAATGAAATTTTATCTGAGTTGGATAGGCTTAAATTGTAGATATCATAATCCGGTAATAGCAGCAACTGTTGTGTACAGATGTTGAGTGTGTTGGATTACCTATTGTTTACCATATAGTTACTTTTGAAAGAATTCTAGATATTCTTTCAACTATTTCCAGTCTCATCTGTCATTTGCAGCCCTGTTGATAAGTAATATATATGTAAAATTAGACCAAAGTATATCTATCTAATTTTACATATATATTACTTATCAACAGGGCTGCAAATGACAGATGAGACTGGAAATAGTTGAAAAAATATCTAGAATAGATGATCACCATCATCTATAACAGATTGGAAACTGCAGCTGCAGAAAAATTATAAGGCACATAGAATGTATATATCCACTAGAATAGCATGTGTTCCCTTAGTCTCTCTTAATTAAGGAGCACTGAATCTCCATATAAAGTTAAAAATTAATTTTTTAATAACAGCATATAAGTTTAAAAACTATGGACAGAAAGGGTAACCAATAGATTTGGCATAAATCTATTGGTTACCCTATTATTTGTATGTTATTTATATAATCGCATGATTGACCATGAGCAGATTCTCCATTTTGAAATGGTAAATAATGATACTTCTGTTGTTGTCATAAAATAGCAATACAGATTAATGAAATTTCCGTGAACATGTTCAATTATTGTTACACTCTATAACAACAAAATGTCATTATAGATATGACATGTTTGCAAATAATAACTTTAGAAGTGGATTCACAATGACTCAAATTTTAGTTTTTCATTATTATGCAAATATAATACAGATTATAAAGAGAAATTACTATAAAAACAGGATCTCGAGATATTAAATTATAGTTATTATTGAAATATGGAGAGTTCAGCTGTTTTCTCGGAAGAAATTGCCGACTTTTGAGTTTTAAATATGATAAAATAGCAAAATGATTGGATTCTAACATAGTTATCACTTTGGTACTAGTTAAATATGTGCCTTCTCACATTTCTGCACTTCAAATTTCAAGGTGTATAATATTGCCGAATTATTTACAAATTTATCAGAATTCTATGATTGAACTAATATCTCCAGATATAACCTTCTTGATAAAGAGCACTGAGTTCAGCGTTAATACGATTTTTCTTATATCGCAAGTACTTTCGACGAGTATTATATCGTCGTCTTCAGGCGAAAAAAAGAACAAATTTGAATTAGAACGTGCAGAATGTTCCAAGTAGAAAACGGAAAAAAATTCTTTTTTTTCTTGTCAATTTCTAAATTATAGCGTTCGGTAATTCCGTTGGTCACGTGCACCAAGCTTTTGCCGGCGTTCGAAATATCTTAAATCCACACGACTAGCAGCGCATGCGTTGACGAGCGATCGTACTAATTGTGCGACTCTTGGCGCTTTTTGCTATTTAAACGCTGGTATAAAGTAACCCATATTTCGGGCAAGTCCAGTGTGGGGACGTTGCATGCGTCTGTGGTCATTGTAAGGAGCGCTTCCCAAATAAATGTAATTCTTCTGTTGTTACAGCTCCTGAGCAACGCTGTTTTTGACCATAACGGGTTATAGCCCTGCTGTAGAACTTTTCTGGCAAGCTCTGTGGTCTGTCTTCCTTTGTTTATATCATCTTGATGTTCTGCGATACGGCAAGCGAGCATTCTTGTCGTTGCCCCTATATACTTCTCAATTGTCCCCGTTATTGGATTTTCCAGTTGCACTGCGTATATTCCCGATTTTTCTAAAACGTCGACTTTATCCCGATCATTGCATATACTCCTGCGTAGGTTGGGTAGGGTAGTTAAAGGAAGAGTAAAGCTGTATCGCCGGAAAATACGGCTAATAAGTATGGACGGTGCTCCTAGGTACGGCAGTGCTGATTGTACTCTAGACATTTCTTTTTTGCTATGTAGTGTGGTAAATGGGAAAAGGGAATCTTTTACCCTACGTAGTACATGCGTAAATTTGGCACTTGTGAATCCAGCATGCTACTTCCCTCATCGTAAGCTCTAATAAAAGTCGAACTGGAAATCGTAAGAACGGCAGTACATTACGCTGGATTCACAAGTGCCAAATTTATCAAGAAGGTTATACAATTTTGGTGTGAGTTTTATTTATTTATCTATTTCTATCTCCAGATATTTTAACAGGAATGGCAAAGCAATTGGGTATAATTTTTGTAAAGATGGAAATAATGTCCATTTGTGGTAAAAATGTTGAATAAATGGTATGACAAAGAGTGTAGTTTAATGAAAAGGAAACTGAAACGGTTACTTAATAACATGGAGGAAAAGAGATAAAGCTGATTTTTTTTTCTTGTGTATAAAAAAAACAACTCTCTTCATCATAAAAAGAAAAATGATAATAAGCAGTCTATTCAAATTCTGATGATAAACTAGGAATTCTAAAACATTTTGGTCTATTGTCAGAGAAAAATTCAGAAAACAAAAGCCATTTATTTCTTCCAGCAATATCAATTGGTTTTCATATTACTCTAAAAAATTTGATTTGAATGTGAGTTTATATGGGCCATCATTTGAGTCCTTAAACATAAACATGTTAAGTATTACACCCTATAACAAAATTTTGGACTCTGATATTGTTTTTGAAGAATTAAAAAATGTAGTAGCTAAATTTAAATGTAATAAGGCACTTGGTTATAGATCCGATTAGAGCAGAATGTTTTAAACATTCCTGATTATCAATTCTTGAAAATTTTAACCTGTTTAATAAAATTAAAAGAATGCAAATTTTTCAAATAGTTGGATTGAAATTCTGATATTACCCATACATAAAAGAGTTGTTATTTCCAACTTCAAAAATGATTATCCAATTTCACTAGTTCCAGTAATTGGCAGATTAGTTATGGTTATTTTGAATTCTTTTGGTTAATGAAAGGAAAATATTATATCAAGAACAATCAGGATTTAGAGAAGGATTTTCTTTAAACCAAATATTTATATTAAATGGCTTAATACAGGAACAGCTTAGGTAGCAAAGATGAGAATTATATGCAGTGTTTATCAATTTTAAAGCTGCATTTGACAGCATATCAAACTGTCTGGTCTTTAGTATGAACATTGTTATTAATATACATGTATTTCCTCCTTGTAATGGACAAATATGTCTAATACAATACATAAATAAATATTATTGAGATATGTGAGATATTAAAATTAGTTATTTTTATCAGTGTTAATGCACACCATAATCTCGGAAAATTAGAAATCATAGTTTAAGTTATATTTTTTAGACAAACATTAAATGTTTGTGCGTTAATTATTTATTTATTTATTTGGTAAATTGAATTGTTTTTACACACCTGAAGAATAGCTTGTGAAGCACGCTGTTTTCCATCTCTCTTATTTTTACAAACAACCTAAAAATAATAATAATAAAATAATTTTAATAAATATTATATCATTTATTGAAATTATTAAAAAATATATTTTATTTAGGCATATTTTTTCTAAGCTGATATTAGAATGCTTTGTTTATGATTACTTAGTACAAAAAACATTTACAACTGAGAAGTTATATAGAGGCTAAATGTATTTACTTTTATCTCTATATTTTAATAATTGTACAGCCAAGGACATAAAAGCATTTCCTACTGCTTTCAAGAATTTTGAATCTGGGTTAGAACTTAGATTCTGTCCTTCACTATCCAGCTAAGTTCATTGTTAGCATGACCAAACCCAAAATGCAAATATAAAGATCCTCTTAATGCTCCAAAAAACTTTGTACATATTCAAGTGAAATCTACTTTATAAGATGTTTCCAGGATATTTATATTATATTACATAAAGTATAACATCTTTTCATTACAAAAGAAAATAAATAAGAACATAATTTTTTGATAAAATGAAACCGTGTTGTGACTCTTCTTTGATTCTTAAACTAAATAAAGATAATATATATTAAAAGTTGAATTGTGAGGTTTCAAATATTAAATATAATTATCAAACTATATATATATATATGTACATTTTTCACAGTAAAATATCAAAATCAATAATTTTACAAATTACCTAATCATATTAACAGATTAATGAGAAATATTTTTTGAAATTGTGTTATAATTTTCCTTTTCTAATTTAACGATACATTGTATTTCTGAAAATATTTTATGAAATTTTAATATAAAATAAATTATTAATTAAAAGAGCATTGATCACATCAAAATTCATTTTGTGTGGTCACACATGTGCACGTATGTATATATAGGGTGTTATGTATATGAGAAACTCTTATGGGTCCAGATCCATAGGAGTTTCTCATCTTGCTGTTCCTTTCATTACAGGGAAACGACGTCACTGACTACAAAGGAATGAATTCAAGTGATTTTGATGATGGGAACATGCAGTCACCAAGAAGTGACCAGAAAATTCAATAGGCTCCATCCACACTGTGGACCAATTGCACACAAATGTGTTGGTAAACTTGTTGCCAAATTTAAGTAAACTGTTGCAAGATGCAGTGGATACTGATCTTGGAGATCTTGATATTGTCAAAGGAACTTCTGTAAACTCAGTGCAAAATGCTTTCCTTGTCCATAACAGTTCTTGGCAGTCTGCTGCAAGGGCTGTCATGTAAGTTCCCAGTTTCCTTAAATACATTTATTTTTTTTTGCACGCATGAGCTTACCAATATACTGTGTGATTGGTTCATGGTCAGGATGGAGCCTATTGAATTTTCTGGTCACTTCTTGGTGACTGCATGTCCCCACCACCAAAAATCACTTGAATTCGTTCCTCTGTAGTCACTGATAATATCATTTCATTCATTACATGGAAACAATATGAGAAACTTCTATGGGTCCAGACTTACAGAACATCCTGCATACATAATTCAAAAGCATGATTATAATTATTTTTATTACATGTATCCAACAGGCAATCTCTTTTAAGTTTTTGCACAATTTTAATAATTTTAATCATTTCAATGGATTTCTGGCTAGTAATATATTCTGAATAATTACAAAAGCAATTAACATTTAATCTACATAAATTTAGGAAACAATTTTGATAATAACTTCTCTTTATAATTTTAAAATATATTGTAAAGCAGGAAGAAATTAACTTCTCATCTATATAAAAAAGTGCTACTAGTTCTATTTAACAATATTTATATTTTATTTCTTAAATTTTGTTATTTGTAAAAATAAAATCAAAGATAAAATAAATATTTTGGGTTTAGTTTTGAACATAAAATTCTTTTCTGTACAATTAAATGAGTTGTTACTGTTTTAAGAAGAATTTAGAAAGAGGAAACGGGAAGAGGAAAGAACAAATGATTATTGGTTTTTAAATAGAAGAACCTCTAAGATGCTAGAATTCCAGAATTCTAGAAAGATACTAAAATACCAATAAAACTGGAAATTTCTTCCTATAGTCATATTTATACTACAGGTATAATTAATCCTATTTTCTTAAAGTCAATTACAGTAAAAAACAAAACTGAGATATATAATTTTATTGTCAGTGAAATAATATGAAAAACATCTTATATTTCTGATTTCTGTTTTATTTTTCTTTATGCTGTCAAACCTCGGTTTTCAAACAATTTGTTCCTAGAAGCTGTTCAAAACCAAACCAAAGGTTTCCATAAGAAACAATATAAAATAAATTAATCCGTTGCTCACCACTGAAATGAAGCCTTTTTTTTACCTTTTTTGCTGTATTTCACCCATAAAAATGCCTACAAAAGCAATATAATATTGTATATAATAAATTTTTGTTATTTAATTTGACTTAAGCACCTTAAAAACTGTGTTAATTGACATTCACATAATATAAATGGCATCCAAGAATTCATTTTTAATTAATTTGATTTAGATTCACTGCAGCACATACAAAAAAATGGTAGTAGTATCTTTACCGCATGCACACTGAAATCTAATTTAAATAGCAATGTCATCAATGATTCATGTTATGATGTCTAATGACTGACACGGGAAATCTTGGCACCACTAAGGCCAAGACTCCACTTGCATAAAAATGAGTATAAAAACATTTGCCTTAATAGTTTTTAGTAATGTTACCCGTGATATTTTTCACTGGTCTAGGATGTAAAAGGAGCATAAAGTAAGTTGAGCAGTGTTCAACTCTTGATGCAAATATGTCTGTAAAACAGTACCATCAACCAATCAGAAGTCAGTGGAATCTATATCACCATGACATGGTGAGAAAACTGGGGGAAAACAAACTTTTATGTATGTTTTCTCATGGCTACTTCATAAAGACCTAGATTTATCAAAAACATTCAAAAGTATCAATGTATCTATGATAAGAGGCATCTCAATTATAAGAATGGATACCTAGAAGAAGCAATATGGATGGCTATAGGAAAATCCTTCAATTTAGGTGACTATATAATAAATAAGCTAAGCATAATATTTTAGTATAGTGCAATATAGTATCTTAATAAAAGATATGGTTTCCCATTAGAATAAGCTTTTAATTTTAACCTTAAAATAATCTTGACCTTTGACCTAGACCTTAAGATCAAGGGTATATCTGAATGTAAAATTTCCTGCTCTTTCCATTTCCAGGGTCAAAAACATGTTCTCATTGAAAAAAACAGACTTGACCTCCAAATGACCTTGAAGGTCAAGGTAAAGGTCATGTCTGAGGTCACCAATTGATTGCCCTCGACACCCTATAACTTTTGTCTATACGTTTTTCCAAAATAATGAGATCCTATTAAGATATTTCATTGTCTCAAGATAAAAAATACACCCTGTATAATTTGTTTCACTATATAATTTTCAATACTTACACTTGCAGTGTGTTTTCCTACAGTTATCCTAAACTCATTCTTTTGATGTTTAAGATTTTGCATATCAAATTTAATCTGGGTATCTCCCATTCCATAATTCCTATCAGGAATAAGAAAAATTATAATTTAAAAGCATTAATCAATTCAAATTAATTGTTAATATACACAGTATCTACATTTTTAAACATATTACAGTAGAGCATCGTTTATCCAAAAGCTGATTATCTGAAACATCGGTTAACCAAAAGCATTCCAGTCGGCAAATTAAAATTTTCTTTAGTGCTGTGGTGCTGCAATCTTTGGCTATATCTTGGACTACTCCAATATTTTTTTTGTTTGTGTGTGTGTGTGTGTTTTAAGCTGGCAGCACTGGCACTTGTGTGGTGTTCTTCTGAGGACTGTGTCATGCTAAATTGAATGCTTTTATACTAGATTAACTTCTAAAGTATAATTTTTTTTTTGTTTTTATATTTTTCAATATATTTATTTTGTTTGTACAAAATAAAGAAATAATCTTTAATGATACAATAGCCACGATTATTATTTTAAAAAGTTTACATTAGGCTTAACATTGACGAAAATTCAATGCAAAGCGACATGCAACGAAGAAAAATTTCAACACGGGAGAGGTTAATATATTTTTTCTTACTAATTGGTTATCTGAAAAATAAGTTATCTGAACAACCTCAGTCCCCAGTTGATTCAGATAAACGACGCTCTACTGTATATTTAATTTTGAATATAATGGACAATTAATATTACATATATTAACAAATAATTTATAGAAACATTGAAAAGATTAATATAAAAATTTAAACAAAATCATGGTTTATTAATTAATAATGGCAATCATTATAAATTATGTGAAAAAATTGTTGCGATTAAAAATATAAGGGATATTTTTTAAATAAGGTCCATTTTTTAATAAGAAGAAAAATACTATAAATATCATTAAAATATATTTTTTCCCATATTCTACATAATTTCCATTTTTGTTCAAACATTTGTCAAACCGCTCAAAAATTTTTTTAATTCCAACTTCAAAGAAATCTGCCACGCTGCTTGTTCTGTATGGCACGGCAGGGTTTTTTAAAATCACACAATAAGCATCAGAATTGATTGTTGTGCCTCTTGGCATAAAATCCACTAACAAAGTCCCTTTCCTGTCCCAAAAGACAGTTACTGTGATCTTTCGTGCTGAAATCGAATAACAGATTGTATCTTAGTCGGTGGGCGACTCAATTTTCTTAAACATTATATACTTCTACAGTTGCAAATGGCATCTAAACATGGGCAAAGCATGCTGAAAGCAGATGCTCATGCACACTGTTGTAATCGCGCATCATTCTCAATCTCACTCTCATTCACAAACAAACCTTATTTAAAAAATAACCCTTGTATATCGAAAAATTTCATTTTGCTTTTCATATTTATATTGTGCTATCTTTACTGATGTGTAACAAGCTATTATAACAGTTAAATATAATTATTCACAATCAAATATATTCAGCAATAAACAAATTCTGAAATATAAACAGGTAGAAATGATTACTGATATGGATGAGTAGTATTTTTCAAAGATAATGTCTATATACAGGGTGTATCTAAATTGGTGTCAGGAACATATCCCTACATTACAAAAAGTTCATATGAACATGAGTCTGAAAACCCTCCATTAAGGAGTTGGGAGGTATAGATTTTATTGCTGATGGTATTGTACATGTGAGGCATTTAACAACATAGATTTATAAAAATTGCTCACAGTGACCTCCTCCTCCTTCAATGCATGTTCCATGCTTTGCCATACTCTGTTGAAAATTCCTGGAGTGTTTTGAATTTGGTCAAAGTCATTTTGGATATTAATTATTATTGCCTTACTGTCCTTATTCAATTTATTATATATTTGTCAGCGTGGACATTAATCATTAACAGGACAATTATACTGGTGTTAAGCATTCACACAAGAATGAGGAAATGTTTTTAGAGAAAACAGACTCTCTTTATTATTAAGCTTCCTGAAGTATTGTTATACAAAGGCCTAAAATCGTCATAATAAAATTTAGTATCAGAAGAAGGGATTTTAAACAAGACATCACTGTTACCATGTTTCTCAATGTAAGATGTAGTGGCACTAAACAAAAATGAAATTTTTAATAATCAGTGATATTGTTGTTTTGTAACAGTCAAAATGGCATTTTTTTTAGTCGAAGGCACTACATCTTACATTGAGAAACATGGCAACGGCGATGTCTTGTTTAAAATACCTTCTTCTGATACTAAATTTTATTGTGACAATTTTAGGCCTTTGTATAACAATAATTCAGGAAACTTAATAAAGTCTGTTTTCTCTAAAAACATTTCCTCATTCTTGTGTGAATGCTTAACACCAGTGTAATTGTCCTGTTAATGATTAATGTCCAGATTGACAAATATATAATCATTTTGGATATGCTCCCTCAGAACATTGACATTAGATACAGTACATTGTTTGGTAATGTTATGGAAGTTACTCTGAATAACACAAAATAGAAAAAACAAGACAGACAAAACAAAAGAAATGACAACACCAACTATAAAGAAGAAAGTGCGTAAAAATGCAAGTTTGAAGTGATTTACACGGGTCACTACAGGGAATTCCTTTCATAACTCTCTAACAAAGGATTTTTGGACCTATGTTCATATGAACTTTTTGTAGTGTTTTGGTATCAGGAACACATCCCTACATTTATGGACACCAATTTAGATACATCCTGTATATTTAATTTCTTATATGACAAATTTTTTCATTTATTTTTTATTTTATAAAATATTTTTAGGAAAACGGTTAAAAATAAATAATNTCGAAATCTTGAATACCTCCGCTCTCGACTGTGTTATCTACACTAGCCATTCTGGCAGTTGTGCAGTTTAGGGGGTACGGCTGTGTTGATGTAAATAAATATAATTCAATTTTGTTTAAGACATGAAAGAGATTAGGCCATTTAAAAACAGAGCAGTATTATTAGTTGTATATTGCATTGTTATACGTTATTATATGTTGATTTTAATTAATATTTAAAATGGAATAATGTTTTAATATTTCTATATGCAATAAATAGTTATATTTTTAACTGATTTAATATATTCTTCTGCTAAGTGAAAACAAAAATTTTAATTGCATATTCATCTGATGTAGAAATATAAGTTTATACTAACTTGATACAGTAAAACCTCAATTTAACAGACTAATTCAGGTAAAAGGGTGTTTATTATATAATAAAGTAGGTTTTCTGAAGGCACAAGTTAAAAAATTGACAAATTAGTTAGTTCATCCATTTTTACTTATGTAGATATGTTTGTGTAATTAAAATTAAGTACTATAAGAAGTTTAATTTCACAAGAAAGTTTCATTTCTACATCTCTTACTGCTTATGTACTCATTATAGTTCTGAGACTAATAAACAAACATTTTTTGGAAAATACATTTTAATTATTTATTTGTTTAGTTAAATACAATGTTCTTAAGAGCAGTGATGCTTGGATTTGAAAAAAAATAACCTGTTATAAAAAGCATTTTAAATTTTTATGTAATTGAATTATGTATGGCACATGGATCAGAAAGTTTGTCCATTAAATCAAGGTTTTACTGTATTTAATATTTTTGAAGAATTTTCACATCTTAAAAATATATAAAGGGACATGTTTTATAATTTATATATTATAATATTCAAAAATATAATTTTATTAATTCTATTACTTACAAACTTCTATTAATGTTGTTAATAACAATTATAAGGCAATTATAATTCTGCAAATTTCCAATGATATATTATTTTTATGTAAATAAAATACCTTTTTAAGCATTCTAACAAAATCTGATATGGAGATGGTTGACCAGCTTTTGCACATAGATCACTTATTCTTGGATCTTCTACACGAACTTCATCAAAAAACTATAAATAATATATATTCATTATTTCAATCTCCAAGATGTGTCAACTTTGCTAACTTGATAAATTTTATTAAGGAAATGTTTAAGAGATTTAACCATACTGTATTATGATTTGTTGCAGTTTCAACTCACTTGTACATCTTGTTGAGGATCATCTGTACTTTTATAATCTTTATGAACACTCTTCATTTGAGGTATTAATATTTCAAGAGTTGCCTTAGCAGCTTCAGATTTAGCTTGTTTTTTGCTACTTCCGTATCCTGTACCATATTCCATATCATTTATAACGACCACAGCTCCGTAAGGAGTACTAGCATTTTCTGAAACAAAGAATTTTTCAAATTAGAATTTTTGCAATGTATTTATTTAATTAGTAATCAAAAACTTTTTCTTCTGAAATTATTAGTAATAAAATTATATAAACAAAGTTTGTCAAATTTTAAAAATTTCTCAAATTTATAATGTGTGTATAAAATTAAACTAATTCATAACCTGAGTATACAAATTAATAAATGCCTTATAATATAAAAATCTCTATTAAAATTACTATTTATATTTATTTAATATTTAAAAAGATTAATGACATTCCTCAAATAGTTATTGCAGAATCAATAACAAATTAGACTTCTACAGTCTATTTTTCATTGCAATTTATGTTAAGAGAGAAAAGACAGGTAGTGAATGATAAATATTAACAAATACTTAAAATGCAGTTGATTTTGGGTACAAATGGCGTATTCTAAAAACAAAAATGCTGTCGGAGATAACTGAAATTTTTTTGAAATTGAGTTTGTGGTGTGGAAGAAAGGGATAAATGCTTATCTATCCAATGGTAAACAATTCAAGAAGTTGTCTTCATCTACTATTCAGTTTGGTGGTAGAAGAAGGCAACTTGTGACACAGATGTAACATACATAAAAAAAACTTTGAACTTACATTGTTCATCATCATCATTTTGTTAGTTACCTCCTTCTTCTATTAAGCCCTTCAACTATTTTGAGTGTTTGAAAATAATGTCTGCATTAATAAAATTAAAATTTTATAATGTTACTACTGTATGTTTGTTAAATTGTATAAATAAAATAAGTGTTTTAAATAAAGCTTTGGATTAATTTTATATTTGAAATTCTGATGCATTTGAAGTCATATCTGTAGTATGCCTAAGACAACTTTGTGATTATTCCTTTAGTTTAATATAAAATGAAAATATCTCTTCTTATTACATTTAATCAAATATGCTTTTTTAGTTAGAAAATATTCAATGCAAAGTTACACAAGCAGTTTTATTTAATTCTGTTAGCTTTTCATACTGTTAATTGAATTTAAAAGTATGAAAAATTATCAAAATTAAATTTGTATTTAATATCTTGTAAGTCTGTTGATTGTTTAGACATACATACATACATACTTTATTAGCAGGACATTAAAATGCAGAATGGGATTTTTTTTTTTATGATGATATGAAACCGTGCTTTACAATTTGTTTATGCTTCTAACACAATAAAGTGCTATAAATTAAGACACTTGGCGGGTTTTCTCATCTTTATTTAGTTGATATGTGTGAACATTTTACACGTTTCGGGCTCTTAAGCCCCTCTTCAGCCAACTAAAACATTAAAAAAGAATATAACATACATATAAAAAAACACAAGTTTCGTAGAATTCATAAAAATATAAAACATACTATGCATACAAGTCTTATAGACTGAAGTAACAGCTTACTTCCTTTTCAGTAACAGTTACTCTTGATATTTTCCAGTAACATTAGCTTATTCATAACCAACTATAATATTAGGGGAGTATATGACACATATATACAAAAGTATACAAAAGTATACATAAGAATCTATAAAACTATCTTCAATTAAGGCATACCTTGAGTACGGTTGTTATTAAAGCTGTGTACGGTTGTTATTAAAGCTGTATACAATTGATTATACCTTTCACTTATAAAACTGTTTTATAAGTGAATATAATTTCAAGCATGTCACAATATTTTGTGCATACTTTTAGTGAAAGTTTATCTATTCAATAAGAAGTTGCCTCAGGGTTGGATATTAAAGTTATATGTAATATGCAAAGAAGTCATTGAATGTTACAAAAAATGTAGTAATACAAGAGACAACAACAGATTACAGGCTAATATTGATAAGACTTCTAACTCAATAACAAAAAAAATCAACAAAACGACCACTCATTTGAAAAGCAGATGTTTTCATCCATTTTTAAAAGGACATCTTCAGGCTGGTGTTCTAATATGAAATTGCACAATTTTTGAACAGACCATAACTTCTGTATTGCTGTTGCTGATTGGTGGAAAGATTGTATATATCAGGGGTGGCCAACCTGCGGCTCGCGAGCTACATGCGGCTCTTTGAAGGATTATTTGTGGCTCTTGATAGATGTACCCGAGTTCCCTTTTTATTTTTGTGTTATTATATTTTAAAAAATTATTATCGTTCCGTATGTGTTTCAAAATGTCTTTTAAATTACTAACAACAAATATGAAAGACTAAGTGCAACGTTGTAACAAATTTCATTTCCGTCCAAGTTAAGAATGATATGACTCATCGAAAACTGCGCGAACGAACATAAACAGTGGCGTAATCATCCGTTATCGACCGACTCCAGACCAATTTTGAATTTTTAAACTGTCATTGCAATGGACAGTTGACATTATGCTCTGGAGGAAACAATTTGTATCACTCTTGCTACGGATATATTTTGAAATCTGGAATTTTTTGCATACCTTTAATTGCGGCTCGCGAAAAATTTCAGATTTTGAAAAATGGCTCGGACTATCAAGGCGCTTGGCCACCCCGGGTATATATAATCTTGCAAAGATTGTGAGATTTATATTGAATTGTTATATATTTTTCACAGATTTGGAATTGTGTTATCTTCCTTATAGTTGATGACTTGTTTTCTTACAGCTGTCTTGTAAATTTCCATTAACTCAAGATATCTGCAGTTCTGTGTAGGATTTTGGTCCTATTAAAATGGACTCCCACAGCCAGAGCTCATACGCCAATGGGTGGTGGCTAATAGGCCTTTAGATATGTCCACTCAGTGTTCCTTTAGATCAGGGATGGTCGACCGCAAAGGTTTTGAAAGTAGCCCATGAAGCTAAAGTTGAACAATTTGCTTTCACTTAAATTAATGTTTAAAAATATTAATTCGATAATTTATTCTTACAATAATAGACTGTCTGTGCAACGTACCCATACTGTTTGTATTTATCCCGATGAACAATGCAAATGAATGTTAACACATGTGCATATAAAAATCCTAAAATTGTTTGTCCATATTCATAGTCGCCCGCAGACTATATTTTACCAAAAAAGTAGCCCCTAAGGGATAAAAGTTTGGCCACACCTGCTTTAGATGGGTGGTGTATCCTCGAATCAGTGGTGGCAATGTAGAAGTTACAATCCATTTGAAAATTGTGCAATTTCATATTAGAACATCAGCCTGGTGATGTCCTTTTAAAAATGAATGAAAAGATTTGCTTTTCAAATGAATGGTTGTTTTGCTGGGTTTTTTGGTTATTGAGTTAAAAGTTTTAACATAGTAATAATTCTTCTTATAAAAAAAGATACAGATGGCTGAAAGTGTTTGCAAAAATTTTAAATCTACTTCAAGAAAAACAATTATAGATCATCTATACTAATATTATAAAGAGGTAATGTTTGTAAGTATGTATGTATGTATGTATGTATGTATGTATGTATGTATGTATGTACTAGCAGACCCCACCACGCATTGTTGTGGCTCAAAATGTATCTATTATAAATGTATAACAATTCCCCTGTGGGGGGGAAGTTTTACAAAAAATTTCTTATTAGTGTACATTGTCTTGACGAACCCTATTAAAATGCAATCAAAAACGCAAAAACCCGCATCTAAAATAATATAATAGAAGTCAAGTTCTTCACAGTAAGCCTTAATTCTGTCCCTCTCCCCGTGCGGGAATATCGAAAAATTCCTTTTTAGTGTACATTCTGTTGACGTACCCTATTAAAACGCAAAAAACCGCATCTTAAATAGTATAAATAGAAGCAGAGTTCTTTACTGTAAGCCTTAATCCTGTCCATCTCCCCCAGTGCAGGAAATTTTGACACGTATATGATATAAAAACACGTGCGCATTCGAATGCAGCATTGTGTGAAAATTTCAAAGGAATCGGTAGGAACAAATGAACATTACATTTTTATTTATATAAATAGATAGATGTTGATCCACTTTAGTTCATTTTCACAGAAAAGCAAACTTAGGGCGTCGTACTCGTAGCGCCATCTGTTGGACATAAAAGCCTTAACCTAGATTATATATTTTAATTTATATGAATGTTTAACGGAATAATATAGAGCCTATGTCCACCCTGAGGTTCCATTCNAAGTATACAAATTCTAAATTAAATTTGTAATATTCACTAAAACTTTTAATCAGGGTTAATAGCAATCAAATGTCATACTATTTTATATTAGTTTAACACAAATATGCACATTTTTAATGTGAAAGGGTCATGGAGGAAAAATAATGATATTACATTTACAGAATAGAATAAAGAATAAACTCAAATAAATGTGTTATATGAAAGATTAGATATATTATATTTTATTGTTAAAATAGTATATTCTATCATTACTTTTATATATAAATATAAAAAAAAATAATCGAAATGTAATAAGTAAATACATTTTATTAGATGTATTTAACTGAAAAGTAATTAACCAGTATTTCCCAATGTGGGGACCATGCCCCACAGGGGGGCAATTCGAAAATGGACTCGTCCAGAGTTTAAGTTAACCATATAGCCACTGTATATATTAGGGTGGGCATAAGAATTTTAGAAAGGCTTAGGTGGGCATAGCACAAAAAAGGTTGGGAAACACTGAATTACATTCACAAATTATTAGATGGGCAACTATTTATGTGATATTTTTCAACAAAACAAAGAACTTCACATTATAATATGGTTGCTGTCTATTGGTTCTTGTATATGAAACATCTCTTTAATCCAATTGTTTTTTCCCCATTTATACAAAAAGCAAAGAACTTGTTGACATCATGCACATTTAACAAATCAAAGATTTTGACAATTATTCTCAACACAAGTTAAACTGCCAGTGTTTAAAAAAAACTTGTTTTACATTTAAAAATTCACATTTTTCATGTGAGAGTCCAGAAGCAAACCATGCATATTTAATCAAATTATTAAATATTGGTGCAGATAATTGATGATGAAAAATAGAATGTAATTTTGTTATGCCATTTCTAGTTGTCCAAAACAATTTTGTTGAAGAATCATTACAAAATAATTGTATAGCATTTAAAATTTCTTTAGCTAGAAGTTTTACTTGTCTATGAAATCTGACATCTAAAGGTTGGCATATAGATGTACACTTTGGTGAAATAATTAGTACTTCACATGAATTTTAATTTATAGATGTTTGAAACACTGTATTATAAATATTAATATTTGTTTATCCACTCCACGAGTCAATTATTAATAATGAGTTTTCTGTTATATTTGGAGATAATACATCTTTTACATAGTTGGTAATAAATGCTGTAGATAATTTGCTAGATGAGCTAGCTGTAATAATAACATTAAACAGTGATCTTTGAACTCTAGGTCAAAACATTCCACAAACCCCTTGTCAGCAAATAACTACATTACCTACAACTTGTCCATTAGCATTAATTAAATATTGAACAGTGTAGGAATGTGTAACTTTATTACTTGGAGAATGTGTAAATCCAATAGTATTTTTTCCCCTTTATATGAAAGTGTTCGTGGTGAAATCATTTCGTATGAAAAACCACACTGATCCATACTGAATATAAAGTTACATGATGGCAATAAATTTTTTACTGTTCTTTGAAATTGCACAGCTTTTATTAAAATATCCTTTTCATTTCCCAATTTCTGTTTTATTTACAAGTTTTGTAATTTTTCGAGATACTAATGTGTATTCTTTTTTATATTGAGCAACCCAGGAATCACTAGATGTAAACTTAATTGAACTATTTAGTTCAAGAAATTTCTGTAATGCCCATATTTTTAATTGATTACCTTTAACAATTTTATAGCTACCTTGCTCTTCCTCAAACATTTGTTTAAAATTCATTTAAGAACATGCTAATGTTTTAATTCTATGTTTGAAATTTAAATTATTTTTTCCCCATTTATATAAATCACTAATATGTTTTAATTCTTTAGCTCCTTTCTGCTGTAATGTAATTTCCATTTTGGATGTTTCTTATGTAAGTTAAGAATTTCTTCTTTTCGTTTTGTTGAGATTATCTTCTTATCAGGTTTTTCATCATCATAAGAGTCTCATTCCAGGTCTTTCTAGGTCTTACTCTCCTTCTTGCCCCTTCCATTGACATTCCCAGGCCTCTTTGCACTGGGACTGTTTCTGGTTAGCATTGCATATGTCCAAACCACCACATGTAGATTTTTTCCTCAGTTTTTCTTCTATCTCCATGATGCACAAGCTTCCCAATGTAACTGATCATCTTATCTTTCCTTGTGACACCACTCATCCATCTCAGCATCTACATTTCTGGAATATGCATCTTCTGTACCTGTATACTTATATAACGAACGAACTGGATAAATATATTACTAAATTTTGACAATCTTAGATATTATCAAATTATTTATGTAAAGAAATTACTTTCTATATTTTAACTGAATATATATTTAACATAATCAGAAACCTAACCTCTTTTTGTATTATTCCCAGTAGAAGTACCTTTTTCAGGAGCGACAGGAAGAGGACACGTAATCAATTTGGTTCCTTCTGGCTGTAAAATACGAAATACCTCATAATTATTACAGAAAATTATAATCAATATTCCAAACAATTTTATTGACTTTTTATACCTAAAATAAAATTTTTTTTTATAAATTATTTTTAATTATAATTAAATTTCATATAATATATTTAACTGTTTATCATTACAAATATTCATAATGAATCCCTTTTAAGAAATTATTTTTAAGTTTATTATTTGTACTTGTCAATTATCTGATATGAATTATTTTAAATTTAAAAATTATAGTAAATAATCATTAATGTTTATCGTCAATTAATGAACAGAAATGAATNTTCAAAAAATTCCCCCCCACGGGGAAGTGTTATAAATTTATAATAGATACATTTTGAGCCACAACAACGCGTGGCAGGGTCTGCTAGTTTTATATAAGTTTATATGTAAACAATTAAACCTCTAAATAAATTAAGAGCTTTTTAACATAATATAATGTTAAAAATGTTGATTTTCTTATTTCCTTTCTAATAATGGGCAATTCTCAAAAACAAACGTTTTACAATTCCCTGCAATTACTATTAAAAGTGTCACTATAATTATTATTATTTCGACTGTTTACCACTTGTATTCTGTAATCAATATTTTAATATCTTTTCTTTATTGTAATCCAAATGAAAATAAACACAAGTTTCCTTTAAGAAAAATATATCTATTAGATACTTTAATTGCTACCTTTTATGTAAGGATTAACTTTTTAGTATAAAAATAAGTATCATAATTTTATTAAAAAATGAATGTGTTACTATACACAATATTGCTATAAGATTTTAAATATGTATATGAATTGCCAATTAAATAAACCCATCAGAGAATTCTTAATAAATTTTCTTTTAAAAATGTAAATTAAACCTCAGTTATATATATCTTACCTAATTCTTTAAAAGTATATCGTGGCTGCACTCTCATTGCATGCTGAACATATTCATGAAGAATACAAACATAGGATTTTCCACTAGGATTCATTACAAATTCTGAAATATAAAATGATAATTATAAATTTTACCACTTTTCAATTTTTCAAATAATATGAATTTTTAAAACCATAACAATTTCTAGTAATACAGTAGAGTCTCGAAAACTCGGCCTAATGTGGACCAAAGGGAGGCTGAGTTTGTGAAAATGCCGGGTTATTGGGAATGGAGTTAAAAAAAATAAGTACGAGTGTTTCCTCAGAAAATACTGTACTGTACTTGTATGTATTGTTTACTTGAGAATACAACAGAGAATAAACTGCCCAAATACCCTTAAACAAAGGAAAAGTACATCCTTTATGAAGGCATAGAGCCTTTACTACATGAAAATGAAAATTAATGAATACACTGTGTACAGTAATTTACCTGATAAGA